TCTTCTTCTTCTTCTTCTTCTTCTTCTTCTTCTTCTTCTTCTTCTTCTTCTTCACCACGACCCTCACTTTTTCTCATCTCTCATTTGTAAAAATCTTGTCCACGTGGCTACTAGTATCGAGTACTCAATGTACATTAATACTCTAACTTTTTTAGCTCCCCGTTATAATTTTGAGAGTTTAGAATTCAAAGTCCCCCATTTAGGATAAGAAACCTGAGTTTTAGAGGACAGAGCCCCGTGCAGTGGTGTAAGATTTTTGTATTGTGAGATATGACGTACGATTCTGAAATAGTTGGGTATCGATATTTGACGATTTCGATACTATACAATTAAACGTCATTTTTAACATATTTCTTTCTTTAAGATGCATGCTGACTTTCAGTATGTTATAGAGGAAGGTCTACTGGTTGTAACGACACCAAAATCATCTTTGTTGCAATTATTTTACCCCCATAGTGAAATGCACAGGTACATATGAATTATTCGCCTAGATCTAGATTTAGATATAGCACTACTAGCTAGTGAATGCCATTACTCGGTAATAGGAAGCTTACTTGTTGTACTTAATTAGTATTAGTATTAGGGTTAGGCTCAAAATGTGCTGTTCCAATCAAACACTAAACCACCCTAGATCTAGATCTACAAAGGCCAGTCCTATCTCTGTACATTGCATGCAGTGTCCAGCTAACACAGCGGTTCTAGTTAGTCATTAGTAAGCTATAAAAAATTAGGGAATGCCTTTCTAGATCTAGATCTAGACTAAGAACTAGAAGGAGAGGCAAGTCTAGGCCTAGGCCTAAGTCTAAATATCTAGATTCAGATCTAGTCTTTCTCCTTTAGGAGACTAGGTGAGTTTTGTTAGGTTCTATACGATACAATATCTAGACCTAGAGCTATATTAAACTGACCAGAATTCACCTACGATAAAATATCAAAGCTATCTAATCATTACCTTATGTTCTGAATCCAGATCAAGGGCCAGATCTACAACACGTTCCCCAGAGATATCCAGTTTCGCTTTAGCGAAAAAGACATAGATTTACAATATATACTGAGAGCGAGAGAGTGAGAGAGAGAGAGAGAGAGAGAGAGAAGAGAGAGAAAGAGAGAGAGAGAGAAAGAGAGAGAGAGGGAGAGAGGGGGGAGAAGAGAGAGAGAGAGAGAGAGAGAGAGAGAGAGAGAGAGAGAGAGAAAGAGAGAGGGAAAGAGAGAGAGAGAGAGAGAAAGAGAGAGAGAGAGAGAGAGAAAGAGAGACAGAGACAGAGAAAGCGAGGAAATAAGAGAATGAAAGAGAGAGAGAGAGAGAGAGAGAGAGAGAGAGAGAGAGAGAGAGAGAGAGAGCCCTTTGTCTTTTATCTAGAATTTGTCACACCAGTGTACCTATAAGTCTCCAGTCCGACTATCATAAGGAAATATTCTATTCCCTGGTTTCACCAAAAGAAGCTGATTTCTTTTTCTATGTCGAGGGGGACTGAAAACTCTGTGTGTGTGTGAGAAGAGAGAGAGAAGAAGAATAAGAGAGAGAGAGAGAGAAAGAGAGAGAGAGAGAGAAAGAGAGAGAGAGAGACAGAGAAAACAGCTCTGACCCAACTCTCGTCCGGAAATGTTCTGTCCCCATCTTTTTCAAAACTTTTTGTTTCACCCTACCGTGGCTTGCAAAAGACAGAGTTCGATTCCTGTGTGGGTAGGGGTATTTTTTGTTCATCGAGTAGGGGGCCTAAGACCGCCTGTCAGCTGGAATACCGTCACAGGCAAAACAGCACATTATGTAAATCTTGTCCAAGTGTCCATGGTCTGTATTTACACAACAGGTGCACCGTAACCGCCCAGGGCCCGGCTAATTATCCAAACTAATTGTAGTGATTTAACAGACAGGGAAGACTGATTGGAAAACATAAAAAAACAAGACAGACAGGAAAGACTGAATTGAAAACATAGAGGATAGGACAGACAGGGAAGACTGATTTTTAAAACATAGAGTACATGACAAACGGGAGGACTGATTTGAAAACAAAGAGAACAAACACATTTTGCTACCGATTTGAACTTTTATTTCCATACTGCCGGTTTCTCATAGTTTACAACACATTGCCAAAGCAGTGCGGCGGCCGCCGGGATGTACATTTCACATGTTCTATGCTCTGCGTAGTACCGTGTTGGCCGCTCGGTTCCAACCAGAAAGTGGGCCGTTGCCCGAACCATCGTTTTCCCGGCCACCCTTCTGGTTTGAACAGAGCGTTACACCCTTGCGCCACGGTGAGGCCCGGTACTTCCGACTTCCGCAAGGGGGGGAGTGGGGAGGGGAAGTCTGTGAGCTGTGGAAGACAAAACAAATAAGCGATAACAAAAACGTTCCCTACAATTTGGTCCCGTACCCGATACCTGCTGACGCCGTTAAAGAACTTGCTATTTTCCCATAACCGGTGACGTGGGCCAGTTCCAGTTCCCCGCGGACACCTGTCACCCCACATAATTTTATCACCCCCTGCACTTCCCCCAACAGCCGAAACTGACATCTTACGTAATGAGGGGTCAGGGGTCAGTTCCCCACTAACCCCTAACCCCTCAGAAAGAGTTCCCCAAACTGGTTGAAAGATGGAAACAGCTCATGCCCCCAAAAAGCTGTTACCTATTACACTTGCATCAAAACGGATTCTTTAAAATACAGTGATTACTCAAAAGTGCAGCTTATCGAAAAAATTATCTACACCCCCCTCCCCCTCGCTTCTCTTCAAATTTCATCAACTTTTTTACTTCACACCTTACCCCCAACCCCATCACACTCACAAAGGTACTGCTGCCTCAGTCTCAAGCTAGGAACAAACCACGCATGAGACACACGGACAAACTGGACTGGCCACAGATACGGAAGCAGGAAGCTGAAGGGACTATTAAATCCTACGGAGACAGGCCCGCTCCTTAACATCAAAAGCATCAACTGAGGCGTCTTATCATGCTAAATAAGAACAAAGACACAAACTACACACACATGCATCAACTAGTCTCATTTCCCATATTGGAATACTTTGTCGTTCCCTTAGAAGCCAGACTCAGGGTCACGTCGAGGAAACTCTTCGGGAAGAGAGAAAAAACAATGCACACAGGGGAAAAAAAAAAGGAAATTTAGAAAAATGTCTTCTGAAATAAAACTTATTATTGTAAAAAATGATAATTTTACAGACATGCCAAAGCATTACAAAATTTATTCATTCATTCCTTAAATTAAAAATTATAAAAAGTAGGTTATAAAAATAACAACAACAGCAACAATAATAATAATCATCATAATCATCATATATTTTACACACATACAAACTCAATCAACTAAAACAAACAGACTTCCCCACCCCACTCCCCCACCTACCTGCTCCGTTGTTTCTCCTGTCGGTAAAGAGTTCTATAATTAACTCTCAAACAACCCGCTGTCATCTTCCACCTCGTCGTCCGTATCCACGAACAACACTCTGTAAATTTGGTCAAAGTCTACCTCGTCCTCAGCCCGCTCCCCAAAATCACTATCGTCGCTAGAAAAAAATTTCTCATCCTCCTCAAAATCCCCACTATCCTCCTCAAAATCCCCACTATCCTCCTCAAAATCCCCACTATCCTCCTCCCCGTCTCCGGAATCCCCCTCAAAACTCACCATCTCCTCGTCACTAGAAATAGGCTCTGGCTCCTCTATGATTATGGGCAAGATATGCCTGGCTCCGTCTGGTGCCCGCGAAGACTCCGAGTTCTGGGGAAAGAGAAAGGGAAAAACGGACCTGACCAAAATTGTTCCGGTTACGAAGTCAGAGGGCTCGGAAACACTATTTAGAAATACCCACAGAGCGAGAATGACACAATGACACGGTTGTTTTAAAAATGAGCCACCCAGCGAAAGTGTCGGTCCGCACCAAAAATATTTTTGAACATGCTACAGCTAGTCCGACAAAGGGACGGCTTTTTTAAAGATGACTTTTAACTGACGACACCGATTTCTAGCGAGCTACCGCATTTGGTCTTTTATCAATTTGTCCCATTTACATCAGTATACCGTGTCAAAAAACAGCTCGGTCAAAATTCTCACCAAGAAATGTTATATCACTATATTTCTAAAAAGTTGTTTTAATGTTTAGTGTTTATGTGGGTGTGTGGGTGTGGTTGTGTGTCTGGGTTGGTGTGTCTGGGTTGGTGTGTCTGGGTTGGTGTGTCTGGGTTGTTGGTGTGTCTGGGTCTGGTGTGTGTGTGTGTGTGTGTGTGTGTGTGTGTGTGTGTGTGTGTGTGTG